GCTGGGGTTCAGTGGTGCAATCTTGGCTCACTGCAACTTCTGTCTCCCAGGTTCAAGTGATTCTTGTGCTTCAGTCTCCTGAGAAGCTGGGATTACAGGTGCCTGCCACTGTGCCTAGCTATTTTTTATATTTTTAGTAGAGATGGAGTTTCACCATGTTGGCCAGGCTGGTCTCGAACTCCTAACCTCACATGATCTGCCTGCCTTGGCCTCCCAAAGCGTTGGGATTATAGGCGTGAGCCATGGCACTGGCCTATCTGTTTCTTATCTATCTATTCCTTATCTATTTATTCTTTTTTTTTTTAATCTCTCTATTCCTGGTAGAGGAATTTGGTATTTCCCTGATGACTAATGTTGTTGTGTACCCACCCTCATTACTTTTTGTCCCAGAGCTTTCCTGGCTATTCTCTTTTTAATTTTTAATTTTTTTTTTTACTTTTTTCTTTCAAAAAACTTTTTTTTTTTGTTTTATAGTTTGCTTTAAGAAGACAAAAAAAAAAAAAAAAAAAAAAAAAAAAAAAAAAAAGGCCAGGTGCAGTGGCTCATGCTTGTAATCCCAGCACTTTGGGAGGCTGAGGCGGGTGGATCACCTGAGGTCAGGAGTTCAAGACCAGCCTGGCCAACATGGAGAAATCCTGTCTCTTTAAAAAAAAAAAAAAAGAAGAAGAAGAAGACATAAAAAGATCCCTCCATAGGTTCACCTACAGAAATCTTGTTACAACTTTTATTTCCTCTAGAGAGTCAAGTTTGACTATCTTCTCAGTGCTGTTTTCTTTGTTAAAAGGTTTTTAATTCACATACCATACAATTTTCCCATTTGAAGCATAATGCAATAGATTCTATTACATTCACAGATATGTGCAAGCAAAGCATCACCAGAGTCCACTGTAGAACATTTTCATCACCTCAAAAAGAAATCCTGGGGCAAGGCATGGCAGCTCACACCTGTAATCCCAGGATTTTGGGAAGCAGAGGTGGGTGGATCGCTTGAGGTCAGGACAGCCTGGGGAACATGGTGAGATCCCATCTCTACAAGCAAACAAACAACAACAAATTAGCCAGTAGAGAAGTCACATACCTGTAGTCCTAGCTACTCAGGAGGCTGAGGTGGGAGGATCACCTGAGCCCAGGAAGTTGAGGCTGTGATGAGCCATGATCACTCCACTGCACTCCAGCTTGGGTGACAGAAGGAGAGCCTGTCTCAAAAAAAGAAAAAAAAGAAAAAGAAAAAGAAGAAACCCTGTACACTTTAGCTATCATCTCTGACTCTTACTTACCTCCCTTAGCCTTTGGCAATCACTAATCTACTTATGTCTCTATAAGTTTGCCTATTACTGACATTTCCTATAAATGCAATCAAATAATACGTGGTCTTTTGTGACTGGTTTATTTTACTTAGCATAGTGTTTACAAGGTTCATCCATGTTGTGGCGTATATAATACTTCATTATGTTTTATGGCCAAATGTTATTGCAGTGTACCCACATGCCATGTTTTACTTATCCATTCATCAGTCGAACATTTGGTTTATTTCCACTTTTTGGCTATTGTGAATAGTGTTGCTATGAACATTCACTACAAGTTTTTGTTTGAGCCCCTATTTTCTTACTTTTCCTTTTCCTTTTTTTTGTGGTGGGGGCTGGAGTCTTGTTCTTTTGCCCAGGTTGGAGTGCAGTGGTGCAATCTCGGCCCACTGCAACCTCCACTTCCTGGGTTCAAGTGATTCTCCTGCCTCAGTCTACTGAGCAGCTGAGATTACAGACATGTGCCACCATGCCTGGTTACTTTTTTTATTTTTAGTAGAGACAGGGTTTCACCATGTTGGCCAGGCTGGTCTTGAACTCCTGACCTCAAGTGATCTGCCCTCCTCAGCCTCCCAAAGTGCTGGGATTACAGGCATGAGCCACTATGCCCAGCCTAAGCCCCTAGTTTCAATTCTTTTGGGTGTATACCTAGGAGCAGAATTGCTGAGTCACATGATAAATTTGTTTAACATTTTGAGAAATCTTCAAACTGTTTTCCACAGCACCTGCACCATTTTACATTCCCACTGGCAACGAATGAATGAGGCTCCCAACTTCTCCACAGACTCACTAAGACATGTTTTTGTTTGTTTTAATTCCAGCCATCCTTCTGGGTATGAAGTGATATTTCACTGTGGTTGATTTGTATTTCCTTGATCATGAATGATGTGGAGAATCTTCATGTACTTATTGGCTGTACATATAAGTTTTTTGGAGAAATGACTATTCAAGCCCTTTGCCCATTTAAAAAACTGGGTCATTTATCTTTCTATTATTGAGTGGTAAGTGTTCTGTATTTTCCTGACTATTCTTGCATGTTCATTTTTCTAGTTGAACCTTCGTCAAGAATGACCAGTGGATGGGGGTGGTGGCTCACACCTGTAATCCCAGCACTTTGGGAGGCCGAAGTGGGAGGATCACTTGAGGTCAGGAGTTCAAGACTAGCCAGGCCAACACGGTGAAATCCCGTCTCTACTAAAAATACAAAATTAGCCAGGTGTGGTGGCATTTGCCTGTAATCCCAGCTACTCAGGAGGCTAAGGCAAGAGAATTCCTTGAGCTCAGGAGCCAAAATTGCACCACTGTGCTCCAGCCTGGGCAACAGAGCGAGACTCTGTCTTAAAAAAAAAAAAATGACTAGCAACTTTTATGTAGTTGAAAAGCAAAACCAAATATTCATCCTGACTCTAGTCTAATAGATTCTGTAGATAAAATTTTTCTCAAAGCATCTTCCTGCTTAAATGACCTGGAAAAAACTGTGGCCACCTTTACTATGAAGTTGATTTAAATCTCACTCATGTACGTAAAACAGAATGGGTTCTAGAATAGTCTCTCTTCAAAGCTTGTGTATGATGTGTGGATGGAAGTTTCTAATTACTCTTTGGCCTAATTTACTTTGGTGTAGCACTGACTCCAAGATTAAGGCTGGAGAAGCCCTTTCCAAGATCAGCATCCCAGCTGGCCTGAGGTGATTATCACAGCTTCTTATGGGCTCTCATCCCCTCCTGAGTTCAGAACTGAACCCAAACTACATGCACAGCCTGACTCACAGCTGTGGTTTGCAGTGATAGCTGGGCTTCATTAGGGAGAAGTGTGGTTTCCCGAATGCTTAGTCTTTGGAGGGAGTCTGAAAAGAATCAAGCATTCCTTATGCCAGTTGCTTAATCCTTGGAGGTATCTGAAAGAGAAGCAAGCACTTCTTAGATCAATATTTTCAAGGCTCATCTGATGCAGGCCTCTACCTGAACTGGAGGATAGACTGTTTCTCCAGCTTCTTTCTCTCCGGGTGGATATGAAACTTAAGCCTTTGTAATGAACTGCTTGCATTTCCCCCCCGCTGGGAAATCTGTGTATGTATGTGCGATTATGATGGGGGATACGGGTTAAAGATAGTTTTAAAAGTGGACACTCGTGGTGCTTGTTCCTTGACAACCGAGCTTCTCAACCTTTTTTTTTTTTTTTTTTTAAATTATCAGTGCCTCCCTAAGTCTTTTTAATTTCCCTACCCTCCCCCTCCCCCATGAAATTTTCTTTTATTTTCTGTTTTTTGTTTGTTTGTTTTGAGACGGAGTTTCACTGTGTCACTCAGGCTGGAGGGCAATGGCGTTATCTCAGCTCACTGCAACATTTGCTTCCCGGGTTCAAGCGATTCTTCTGCCTCAGCCCCTCAGGTAGCTGGGATTACAGGTGCCCACCGGTACGCCCAGCTAATTTTTGTACTTTTAGTAGAGACGGGGTTTCACCGTGTTGGTAAAGCTGGTCTTGAACTCCTGACCTCAGGTGATCCACCCACCTTGGCCACCCAAAGTGCTGGGGTTACAGGCATGAGCTACTGCACCTGGCCCCTTTTATTTTCTTTCGATACAGGGTCTCACTCTGTCACCCAGACTGGAGTAATCATGGCTCACTGCAGCCTCAACTTCCTGGGCTCAAGAGATCCTCCTATCTCAGGCACCCAAGTAGCTGGGACCACAGGCATGTGCCATGACACCTGGTTTTATTTATTTATTTATTTATTTATTTATTTATTTATTTGGTATTCTTTTGTAGAGATGGGGTCTCACTATGTTGCTTAGGCTGGTCTTGAACTCCTGGGCTCAAGCAGTCCTCCTGCCTCTACCTTCCAAAGTCTTGGGACTATAGGTGTGAGCCACCACGTCTGCCCTGAAATTTCAATATCACAGCTATATTGTATATCTATTTATGTGCTGTATGTATGCTGTGCTTTATACATTTAAAAAAGTTCTATTTTTTCCTCCGGTTGGGGTGTGATAGAGACCGCACTGAGAACGCATGCTTTACATAATTAGTTCACAACCTGCCCCCTGGCAGCCTCTGCCACATAAAATCATGAGACGGCAGCCTAGCAGGGCCGACAAGGAATGTGTGAACGGATGCACATAAAGTGCTTAGCAAAGCGTGGTCAACAAGAGCCCTTGCTGTTGTCATTCTTGCTTTAAGCCCAGTCCCAGTGATGTCGGTAACTCTCTCTTGGGCCAAAGAGTCCCGTGGCTCTGGAGGGCTGGTCACAGGACTAAGTCATTCCCAGTCTGCAGAGCTACGGGGGCAGTAGGTACCTAAGGGAGTGAACTGGCCTTGGAGGGACTGTGGCCAGAGGACAGCTCTGAGCCTGGTGGTGTCAGAACTTGAGATTTCTCAGAAAAAGCCAGGAATGTGGATTTTGGGTTAAATCTCCTGAATGTTAAGCATTGGCTCAATTAAATAACAATAAGGCTATGTGGACCAAACAAAAGGGACGAAACCAAGATATACTGACTTTCCCAAAGTCCGGGGCACCGCCGGGATTCCAATAAGGACTCCCAAGCCAGTGCTCTTTCCACTTAACTTAAAGCACAACTTTCATCTCCCCGCCGCCCTTCGACTTCCCGGTTTTTGGGAGTCCTTCGACGCCTCTCCTCCCTCCCCACAGGAGGCCACCCGCTTCCCAGCACGGCGTGGTCTCTGCCCAGCAGATCGGGTCTCCCAGCGTTTCCTGAGTAGATGACGCTGGCGAGCGCTCTGGGGCTGGGAGCGCCCGGGGCCCGCGAAGGAGGAGGTGGCTCGAGAGTCTGGCGGACCGTGGGAACCGGCCCCGGTAGGCGTGGAAAGGAAGGGCCTCGGCGTCGACCAGCCTCTCCCGCGCGGACCGCGAAATCTCGGAGCTGAAACAGCCTGTTGTTCGCAGCCGCCCTGGACATTGTTTTCCATTCGCCCGGGTTGCGGGTGGGAGGCGAGGCACGCCGGGGTTCCCGAGCTTGGTGGCGCGCCAGGCTTGTGACCTTCGTCCCCTAGGGCCACCGGGGCGGCCACGCCTCTCCAGCGGGAGGAGAGAACGCCTGGGGTCCGGGTGGCTGCTCCTGCCCTCCCGCCTCCAGCTCGGCCATGGGCTCGCGCAGCTCCCACGTCGCTGTCATTCCCGACGTGGACAGCATTCGGCGAGAGACCGGCTGTGAGTGCGCCCGCGCCGGCGGCTGCGGAGGGGAGGCGTCGACCCCAGGCGTCCGGGGCTGGGGATCCGAGGAGGTTTAACGCCGTGTAGAGGTCCCCGGGGAAGCAGTTGGGTTGAGGGATGGACGAACTTACAAGTCCGGAGTCCGGGGCTCCCCGGAGCTGGAAGACCAAGACTCCAGCACCTGGGATCGCTGGGCTCCGGGCGCGTTAACTAAGGGGTCCCAGTCTCCAAGTTTGGGGAGGATCCAGGTTCACGGGTTTGGAGTCCAGACGAATCCAGGCCACCCAGGTGTCCTCGAGCCCGGATCGAGGCTGAAGACAGCTGACGGCGGATGGAAGGGATGGCTTTGGTACTTTGGTTTTCGGGAGGTTGCGAGCCGCTCGAGTCTCGAACCTGGATCTTCGCGGGGTCGTGTCAATCTCCCTCCACTCCGGCCAGCTCCACCCTCCGGGATGATTGCCCCTTCCAGCCGCCCCCCCCACGCCCCGCTGTCCCCGGTCCATCTTCCCGGCCCATTGGGGCGGGTTTCTGGAGCGCGCCCCACAGCCTCACCACCCACCCCATTCCCTCCGGCAGTCTCCCAAGCCAGCCTCGTCCGCCTGCACCACCGGTTCCGGGCACTGGACAGGAACAAGAAGGGCTACCTGAGGTAAGGAGGAGCCCACCACATGACTTCTGGCCTCTGTCTCCCTGACTCCACGTCCCTCTTTGACCCTCCATCTAGCATCTCTGCCTTAACCTCTTTGAACTTTGACTTTGCAGCCGCATGGATCTCCAGCAGATAGGGGCGCTGGCCGTGAACCCCCTGGGAGACCGCATTATAGAAAGCTTCTTTCCCAATGGGTGAGGCCTGCTGACTTGGGGAGGTGGAGGTGGGAAGCCAGCGTGTGAGTGGTTGGGAGGGGAGGTTAGAGACTTGAGGCAGAGTGATGGACAAGATGACCACTGCCTCCTTCCATTCTGCGCGCCTCCTCCCCGCCCTGTCTCCCCAGGAGCCAGCAAGTGGATTTCCCCGGCTTTGTCAGGGTCCTGGCTCATTTTCGCCCTGTAGAAGATGAGGACACAGACCAAGACCCCAAGAAACCTGAACCTCTCAACAGCAGAAGGAACAAACTTCACTGTGAGTTTGTGAGGACCGGCCGAGTGAGAATGCAGATGTACTCACACCAGGGACAGGCTCCAGGAATCTCCCACTCCCTTCCTGAGCCCATTGGCAACCTCCCCCCTCCTCCAGGGTGGCCTCCTGCTGGAAAAGAGCCAGGGAAGAGCCACCTTCCTTTCCCCCTCCCACCCTCTCCTCAGATGCATTTCAGCTCTACGACCTGGATCGCGATGGGAAGATCTCCAGGCATGAGATGCTGCAGGTTGGCAGAAAGCGAGGGCAAGAGATGTGATGCGTGAAGGGGAGGATGGTTGGGTGCAATGGTGTGAGGGATGGGGTGGGATGACTGGGGAACTGGGGTGCAGATGATTGGGGTATTGGTTGGGAAATGGGAATGGGTGAGGTTGGAGTGCAGGTTTGTTGGGAGTTAGATGGGGAGCAGTTGACTATGAGGTTGGGAATAGATCAGTGATTCTCAGCTGGGGGTGATTTTGCTCCTTGAGCGAACATCTTGCATTATGTGGAGAAGTTTTTTGTTGTCATAATGGAGGAGAGAGTGTGCTACTTGGCATCTAGTGGGTAGAGATCAGGATTGTGGCTATATGTCATGCAATATCCAGGAGAGCCTTCTCCAGTAAGGAATTACCTGGCTTCAAATGTCAATGGTGCCAAGATTGAGAAACTCTGGAACAGATGTGATGGAATGAGGATGAAATTACAAATTCTTAGTGGTTGAGGTGGAGAATGGTGTGGAGGATGGAGGGAGATTGGGTGATAAAGTTGGGTAATGAGTTTGAGCATATTCTGAGGGTAATGTGGGATGGTGAGGGAGAGATAGATTGGTTGTTGAAGCAGTAGGGAAAATTACTGGGGGGATATGGTGAAAAATGGATGAAGGATGGATTATAAAATTAGTAATAACTTTTGGGATGAGGTGGACAAGGCTTAGGGGATGGGATAGTAGCAGCCTTTGTGCCCCCTCTTTATGGCTGCCTCTTCACTCACCTCCCAGGTTCTCCGGCTGATGGTCGGGGTACAGGTGACAGAAGAGCAGCTGGAGAACATCGCTGACCGCACAGGTGCAGGAAGCTGATGAAGATGGGGATGGGGCTGTGTCCTTCCTGGAGTTTGCCAAGGTCAGGGTGCTCTTGGGGACTAGGGAGTTGAGATCAGGAGTCCCTGGGGCAGACAGACATGGGAGATGTTCAACGAAGGAGGGTGGAAAGATAGGGGTACCCTGGGAACAATAGGGGTCTCTGGAATGGGTAGAGCCCTGGGGGAGGAGGTTGGGAGCATGGAGAATTGAGAGTCAAGCCTCTTGCCTGCCATTCATTTTCCCCTCAGTCCTTAGAGAAGATGGACGTTGAGCAAAAAATGAGCATCCGGATCCTGAAATGACTCTGTTTGTGCCTTGGGCTTGCTCCTGCAACCAGTATCTGCTTGGAATTCATCTAAAGCCCCTGTGGATGCAGGGCACTCATCAACTGTATTCTTACTTCTAACTCTATTTAGGGCCAAAGAAAGCAAGCTGGAAGGATGTGTGCTAAAGTCTAGCTCAGCAGTCCCCAACCTTTTTGGCATTAGGGACAATTTTTCCACAGATGGGTGACAGGGGATGGTTTTGGGATGGTTCAAGTGCATTACGTTTATTGTGCACTTTATTATGATTACATTATAACATATAATGAAATAATTATACAACTCACCATCATGTATAATCAGCAGGAGCCCTGAGCTTGTTTTTCTGCATGCTAGACAGTCCCATATTGGAGTGATGGGAGACAATGACAGATCATCAGGCATTAGATTCTCCCAAGGAGTGTGCAACCTAGATCCCTCACAGGCACAATTCTCGATAGGGGTTGGGCTTCTGTGAGAATCTAATGTGGCTGCTGATCTGACAGGAGGCAGAGCTCAGGCAGTAATGTGAGCAATGGGGAGTGGCTGTAAATACTAATGAAGCTTCAGCTCACCTGCTACTCACCACCTGCAGTGCGTCCTGGTTCCTAACAGGCCACAGACCAGACGCCTCATTTGGTCTCAGAGCTGTGAATCAGCCAGCAATCTTTTGGTTGAGAATCACTGAAAACCCAACTCAAAGTGACTTAAGTCAGAAAGAAGTTTTATGAGCTCATGTAATTAAAAAGTCTGGAAGTATCTATCTTTAGTCACAGCTGGATCCAAAGGCACAAACGATGTCGTCAGGCCCCAGTTATTCTCCATCTCCCAGCTTAGCTTTTCCTCTCTGTAAGCTTCATTTTCAGAAAGGCTCCTTCCCAGTGGTGGAGATGGCCACCATCGGCTCCAGGCTTCTATCTTGCTAACCTAGTAACCCAGGGGGAAGAGATTTACTTATTCCAATAATTCTAAGTGGAGAGTATCATTGACCCATTCGGGGTCTCATCCCTACTTCTAGGGGAATGGAACACTCTGATTGGCCAGGCCTGTGTCATATGCTAATTCCTAGAGCCAGGGGAATTCAGGATGGAGTGAAAGGTGGTTACATAAAGGAAAGTTAAATGCAGTTGGCAGAAGAAGGGGAAATGAATGGTCTGCTCTGCTTGGGCAGAACAAGAGATGCCCATTACCGTGAGATACCCTTGAAGTCTGGACTCTTAAGTGGGTTTTTGCTGATTTCCTGGGTGCATGCTAGGGTGATGGGGCTTGATGAGGTAGTGGAGAAATGACGTAAAAATAATAAACAATACATGCCTTCCTAGAGTGTGAATGCATTTGAAGATTCTAAGAGTATGCTTGCTTTCATGGTAAGATGTTCAAACATTGATGTAAGACAGAATGGAGTAGGAAATCCCCTAAATCATGAAACTCTATGTCTGCAGTAGAGTGCCCCGATCCCACCCTAGCTCGGGAGGGGAGGCTTTTGTCATGCAGGTGAGGGGCTGCAGTCTGGCTGCTGGGCAGAACCTGCTAAATGCCACCCTTTGGATGTCAAGTCTAACAGGTGCCCGTGGATTTGCTCTAGAGGGTCCTGATGAGGAGCGCCTCTTCTGTGAGCAGCAGTTGACAATTTTTACCATCTTCATTATTGTTGCTGTACAGTATCTATGTCCTGTGCTGTTACTCATTGTTTGTCTATAAACAGACACATTTAAAATTTATAAGTTTGAAGGTATAAAGGAAATTGTATCTCACTCCCGTAAGTTTTGTTCTCTTTTAAAAATATATTTTCTGCCGGGTGCGGTGGCTCAAGCCTGTAATCCCAGCACTTTGGGAGGCTGAGGCGGGTGGATCACGAGGTCAAGAGATGAAGACCATCCTGGTCAACATGGTGAAACCCCGTCTCTACTAAAAATACAAAAAATTAGCTGGGCATGGTGGTGTGTGCCTGTGATCCCAGCTACTCAGGAGGCTGAGGCAGGAGAATTGCCTGAACCCAGGAGGCGGAGGTTGCAGTGAGCCGAGATCGCGCCATTGCACTCCAGCCTGGGTAACAAGAGCGAAACTCCGTCTCAAAAAAAAAATAAAAATATAAATACATATATATATATATATATATATATATATATATATATATTTGCATCCAATCATTCATTATCACTCCTATAAATTAAAAGCAGCATCAATCACTGTAAATAAAATAACTACACAAATATAGTACCTGCAAAGAAACAAATACATATAAGGAAATATCAACACAAAAAAATGATAAACGTTTGAGGTGAAGAATATGCTAATTACTCTCATTTGAGAATTACACGTTGTATACATGTATCAAAATATCACACTGTGCTGAGTGTGGTGGCTCATGCCTCTAATCCCAGCACTTTGTGAGGCTGAGGTGGCTAGATCACCTGACGTCAGGAGTTCAAGACTGGCCTGACCAACATGGTGAAACCCCGTCTCTACTAAAAATGGAAAAATTAGCCAGGTGTGGTGGCAGGCACCTGTAATCCCACCTGCTCAGGAGGCTGAGGCAGGAGAATCTCTTGGACCCTGGGAGGCGGAGGCTGCAGTGAACCAAGATTGCACCACTGCACTTTAGCCTGGGCAACAGAGTGAGACTCTGTCTCAAAACAAAAACAAAAACAAAAACAAAATATACACAGTACTCCATAAATATGTATGATTATTATATATCAATCAAAAATAGCACTTATATTACATGGGAGAGATTAACAAGTATAAAAATGTTTTAAAAGACAAACCTGCCTCAAACAGAGATTTCCCTTTGGTGATCTGAAGAATGCAAAAAAGAATTGAGAAGGGTACAAATTTTTCTTGAGACCAGATCTTGTTCTGTCACCAAGGCTGGAGAGTAGTGGTGAGATCTTGGCTCACTGCAGCCTCTACCTCCAACCTCTACCTCCTGATCCTCTCACCTCAGCCTCCTGAGTAGTTGGGATCACAGGTACAGGCCACTAAGCCTGGCTAATTTTGCTATTTTTTTTTGGTAGAGATGGGGTCTTTCTATATTGTCCAGGCTGTCTGCAAGCCACCACACCTGGTTGGGAACAACTTTTTTACTGTGTGATTCAATGTTATTGAAGGCTGTTTGGTTACTACCCCAAAACATCTTGTGTGTGAGAGTGGTGTATTTCCCACACCTTGGGAATCACTGGCTGGGGGAAACTATGAGGAAATAAACCTCCTGGGTTGAGTCTTCCCCTCTTGTCCCTTCAGGGAACATCTGGAGGCAGCCATCAGTGGGTTGGACATCCTGATGCTCAGGTTGGCCACTGGTCAGGTTGGGTTTGGTAGAGGTTGGCCATTGTAGCAGAATTCACTCATCAGGCCTGGTTCAGGGATAAATAACAGGACTTAATGTCATGCTTTGTGGAGTTGGAAATATTAAAAGCAATAGTCCTCTGCTGACATTCATCTCCAGAACCTGGTAAGACTTGTGAGCTTGGAGACAGGGCCCATAAGCTTGCCCACTTGCTGGGCTAAGATGGCAGAGTCCCCAAGGGAGAAACCGGAAGTGGCTCTAGTCCTCGTGCTTGTGATCCTCGCCTGAGAGGGAGGCTACTTCCCAGGGAGAAGTGGGATGGGCACTGGAGTGGTCCCAGCTTGTTCCACTAGGGCTGCTGGGAAGGTCCTTGGCTGTCCTGGAATTTTCTAGAAGAACTCATCTACGTATCCCAAAGAGGAGATGGGAGTTCCAGAAGCAGCTCCTCTCCTTGCCAAGGAGACAAAACCTGAGACCGTGTGTAGGGAGCCTTCGGAAGAGAAGCGACCGGGAAATGAAATGCCTTGTTAGGTGATTTCATCTTTGTATGAACAACATAAAGTGTACTTACACAAACCTAGATGGTGTAACCTACTATACACCTAGACAATACGGTATCGCTGATTGCTCTCAGGCAAGAAACCAGCACCGCATCACTGCATTAAATACTGTAGGCAACTACAACATAATGGCAAGTATCTGTGTGTCTAAACATAGCTTAACATAGGAATGGCACAGTAACACTGTGGTATTACAGTCTTATGGTATCATCGTCATATACGTGGTCTGTCATTGACCAAAATGTCATGATGCATGGCTGTGGAAGGACATGGGGAGTGATGTTGGCCACACCTAGTTATGCTGCCATTGCCTCTTGCTAACTGATCAGGAAAACAGGAATTCTGACCTAGTCCCCAGCCCTGTCTAAGCAACACCAGTAAAACTCTTTTTTTTTTGAGATGGAGTCTCTCTCTGTTGCCCAAGCCGGAGTGCAGTGGTTTGATCTCAGCTCACTGCAACTGCCTCCTGGGTTCAAGTGATTCTCCTGCCTCGGCCAACCCAGTAGCTGGGATTACAGGTGTGCACCACCGCAACCGGCTACTTTTTGTATTTTGAGTAGAGATGGGGTTTTTCTATGTTGGCCAGGCTGGTCTTGCACTCCTGACCTCAGGTGATCTGCCTGCCTTGGCCTCCTAAAGTGCTGGGATTACAGGCGTGAGCCACCACGCCTGGCTCCAGTATTTAAGATGCAATATACAGATTTGATTCCTGGTAGAGCCTTACTCTGAGAAGCAGTGTAGTTTAGCAAAAACAATGTGAGTTTTGGAGTCTTGTTAGGCCTGGGTTTGAATCTAGACCCTTATGACGAGCTGTTGTACAACCTTGGGTAAGTGACTTTAACCCTCCAGCCTTAGCTTCTGTCATCTGTGACAGAGATACTGGCAGCTACCCTCTAGAGCTGTACCTTATCCTTTCTCTCTCCCTGTCTCCCTCAAACCTACTTATTTTAGGTGGGGCCCTTGGCCTGATCTATAAGCCTGGACTCTGGGCTGCACCAGTAAGGATCCTTCAGTTGTTAACTGGATAATAAAATAATAGAAATTTATTGGTTCATATAACCGAAAGAAAAGTCCAAAGGTATACCAGGCAAAGGTGAGTCCCAAAGGCTCAATGATATTACCAGAAATTAGTCTTTCATTTCTCAACTCTGCCGCCCTCTGTGCTGGTTTAGTTTTTTTTTTTTTTTTTTGAGACAGAGCTCATGCTATTGCCTAGGCTGGAGGGCAGTAGTGCAACGTGGGTTCACTGCAACTTCCGCCTCCCAGGTTCAGGGGAACCTCTTGCCTCAGCCTCCCAAGTAGCTGGGATTACAGGAGTGCACCACCACACTGGGCTAATTTTTGTATTTTTGGTAGGGACAGTGTTTCACCATGTTGGCCAGGCTGATCTCGAACTCCTGACCTCAAGTGATCCACACACCTCAGTCCCCCAAAGTGCTGGGATTACAGGCATGAGCCACCGTGCCCAGCCAATGTGTTGGTTTCATTGTTAAGCAGTAAAATAAAATATCAATAAAAAAAGAGCCTCTCTCTCTCTCTCTGTCTCTCTCTCTCTCTCTCTCTCTCTTTTTTAAACTTTTAAGTTCAGGGGTAGAAGTGCAGGTTTGTTACACTGGTAAACTTGTGTCATGGGGGGTGGTTGCACAGATCATTTAGTGGCCCAGGTATTAAGCCTAGTACCCTCATCTTCTCTCTCCTCCCATCCTCCACCCTCCAAAAGACCCCAGTGTGTGTTGTTCCCCTCTGTGTATCCATGTGTTCTCATCATTTAGCTCCCACTTACAACTGAAAACATGTGGTATTTGGTTTTCTCTTTCTGTGTTAGTTTGCTAAAGAGAATGAGCCTCTCTTTTCCGTCAGTTCTGTCAAAAGTCTCAGCACCAAACCTCATTGGCCCATCCACTGTAGTCAGGTAAATGCAACACTCTGATTAATCAGATCTGCTCACATGCTTGCCCCAGTACTACGGACTGCAGTCAATCCCACGTGAACCAAATGCAGCGTGTGTGTGTGTGTGTGTGTGTGTGTGTGTGTGTGTGTGTGTGTGTTGTTATGGGAAGAAGGAGGATGCATGTTGGAAAGGCAAAATCAACAAATAACTATTTACTAATTAGTTTGCTCTTGGCTACAAATAACAGAATTATCAGATAACAGTGGCTTAAATAATTAAAGCAATGATCTCACATTATAAGATGTCTCTGATGGTAGGCAGTCTTACTGAATGACTCAACAATATAATTGAGAATCCAAGATGTTTTATCCTTCTAATCCTCAGTATGTGTCTTTTAATGTGCAGGTGTGTTGACTCATCATTACAAAATAGCTGCCATAGCTCTAGCCATCACACTCTCATCACTATCTAGGAATAGTGTCTAGAAAAGGCTTCCAGAGAGAGTGTCCTAAGAAACAAGAAGTGAAAGACACCAGTGTCTTAAAGCCTGAGAAAGTGGTACAATGTCACTTCTGTTATAAAATATCGAGACAAAACAGG